GACCGGAAAAAGTCCACTTGCCAGAGACCAGCCAGGCATGATTGATCGACAGCCAAGATTGACCACTCCCACCCTTCCCGTCCCAGGCCACCCGGCACATGTGGCTGTCCTTCTCAGGACAGCCATGTCCACACCCTAAACCCGCAAGCCGCCCGCCAAGCCCACGCTGCTAACAATTCGCAACAAATGCAAGAAAACTCAGGCGAAAATGATCGAATAAATACAAATCACACCACCATTGAACCGACTTCGATATAGCAAGCCGTCAGGCAGCTGAAAGAGGTCACAAATTTGGAATTTTTGTTTCTTACGAATTGAATTGAATTGATCGCATCACAACGGCAGGAGTCTTTTTCATAGCTCTTAGTGCCGCGCAATGCTAAGATATTTTATATAACCTTACATTGCCTTGTCACAATTGTAACCTAAAGCTCCCCGTTTTAGGATGTTGAAGTCGATTGTGTTTCCCTAGCAAATCACCCCCTCCCTCTGTTTGTAGAGCGAACAGGAACCTGCCTAGAGCACTGTCTATTAGAAACACTTTCTGTTACTCGATTAATGTCTATTAGAAGGCGTCCCCTCATAAGATGCAATTTTTTGTTTTTTTAAAGCTCTATCCTAGCTTTTCCCGGGGGCCCCTGAATATAGTTGGGCCATAAATAAATGACCAGGTATGTACGAAACACCATGAGCAGAGGGCAGAAGCAAAGTTCTTCAGGCAGAGTCGGTACTTTTTTGTTAGTCGACTACAAACAGGGGAAATCCACAGGTCACGGTACAGTCAAATATTTCAGGGGGTGGTAGATTAGGCTATAGGTTTAGTTAGGGTTTGGGTTAGGGTTAGGGTTGAGGTTAGGGTTAGGGTTGGGTAAACGCGTGCAAACCGTAGCTTTGGAAGAAACGCGCTAAATCACTGAAAACACGAAAAAATCAGCTCTTATCGCCCTCTAAAGTAATGGACTGTCCCGTGGCGTAATTTTTGGTCGACTAAACAGAAAGCACCGGCGAGTCTCCTTTCAGACAATAAAATCTCCTTCCTTAACCAACACAGAACAGGTGTCATTAGTCGTTTTACACTTATGCAGATTTAGATTAGGAGATCATAGCACCAATGGATCTATCCTGACTACTCTGATGATAATACTTCTTCTTTCTTTTTCTTCTGCCTTTCTATCCCCCAATGGAGCACAGGCCCTCAACCAACTCACGCCAAGTTGTTCTATCCTTCGCCATTGCATGGAGCTCTCCCCATCTTTCTAACTCCATGTGTTTGTGTGTGTGTGTGTGTTTTTGGGCCTTCTTTTATTTCTATGCCCCTGTGGGTTTCAATGCAAAGACATTCTAGTTATGCTATTCTCCTGTTTTCTCAGTGATGATAGGGTAAGGCCTTAACCCTACGATAATACTTACTAGTCACTAATTACACCTTCTTTTTATTCCTTGCCATTGCTCATTGTTCAATGTTTCTTTCAAGATCATCTTCATTGCACATCGGACATGACCATAAGTGCTCCGATCTCCTGAGAATGTCTCCATCCTTCTCACTATCACCCTAGTAGGCATTCGATCTTATCAGGTAGGTAAAAAAAAAAAACAGAGGGGGAACCTTTGAGGCCGTTAAATATTATGAATTAATCGAGTAACAGAAAGTGTATTGATGAGAGCCGATCAATAAACTTTCTGTTACTCGATTAATTCAGGTAGGTAAAGTGAGGTTAAACTTTAATTTATTTCACCCATCTTTCAATTGCTTTTGTATTATTGTATTTTAGTACAAGTATACTATGTACATTATTTTATACAAGGCTATCAGTGTATAATATACCATTAACAATTGGACTTTTTCCTTTCAAATGGGAACGGATCAATCATTCCCCCTTTATTTCTTATGAGAAAAGTCGTTTGGTGTGTTTACTGTTTGGTACCGTACTGTTTGGTATACATACTGTTTGGTATAAGTATTGCTTGGTATACGTACTGTCTGGTATACGTACTGTTTGGCATATGTCCAAGAATCAAGATTGATCATTCCCAGTTTATTTCTTATGAGAAAAGTCGTTTGGTGTGCTTACTGTTTGGTATCCCTACTGTTTAGTATACGTTCTGTTTGGTATACGTACTGTTTGGTATACGTACTTCTTAGCATACGTACTGTTTGGTATATGTCCAAGGATCCGGAACGGATTAATCATTCCCAGTTTATTTCTTATGTGAAAATTGTGTTGGTATAGTTTAGTCGACGGATCAACATCATGGCACACGGGTGTAAACTCATAAGTGTTCCGTTCTACTTCTAACTCAAGCCTGACTCATAAGAATCTCAGCGCAGTGCACGAACTCCCTTGCACCAGCGAGGATCTTGAAATACTTCTCGATAGATTTTTAACTCCAAATTTTGCCCGAGCTACTCTTTTTAAGTTTCCAGCTGTCAGTGTATTTTTTAATGTGCGCAACAATTCACACGGGTGTCCGGTCTTACTACCTAGAGACGAGGGAAAATACTAAAAGTCCAGGTGAAAAAATCCAAGCCTTCGCCGGGGTTTGAACCCTGGACTTCCATCACTCGACGCAGATGCCATACCTCGAGACCAGATTTTATTTGGTATACATATTGTTTGCTCTTCTCCAGGGATCACTAACAGAGTATTAAGTACAGCGGAATACTACTGTACCTTTCTAAACGGACTACCACAGATATCAAACTGGTACTTCCAGGTTTAGAAAAGGTGTTTATTAAACCATAAAGTCGCCTCAGTACATCATACCAGTTCTTCTTTTGCTTTCGCCATTAAAAAGGATGCTTGCATGTTATGTTCCAGGTTACAGCTAGGCAGCGATATCTGCATCTTCAGCCTAAAATATCCTATTTCTCCAGACCTCTGATCGATGACCTTTACGACATGCTTGTGCGAGATGAGTCTTTTATTCCTCTTAAAATGTGGCCCTGGAACCCACCAAGGGGGAGGGGGGGGCATGTCATTAAAAACTAACACACTCTTGGCAAGTTGCTGAGTAGAGAATGAGATAATGAAGAAAACAACAGCGATAAATACAGATAATTTTTGTGTTTTTTTACTTTAATGTGTCAAGTTTGTCATTATCTGAACATATTTTAATGCGATAAAATCTGAATACATCACATACCCAACACATGCATACATCATTTCGACCAAAGACAACAACAATTAAACACATTTAATGAGCCTTAACAAATTACATCGTTGTGTTGAAGGTTCTGTTGCCTTCTCAGGTTAAGACTTCTAGTCACAAGTATTAAGTTAACCTTTGATACATTTTTCTAGATTCATCCAGAAACGACAGATCATTGGGTTAGACCATCTCGTTAGAATGCAGCAAAATCAAATACCACCCTAGGCACTACGTCTCAGAAGATCGGTTGCAAGATCAATTGGACAGCCAACAAGAAATATGGACTGACAACATAAAAAATACTTTATACCTTCACGGCATATCAATATGTAATGCCAGCTAGTGTGCACTGGATCGCATATAATTTCCTCCCCACGCCGCTTAGCGAAGGAAGTGGTTTATAGTGATGATGATGATGATGTGAGTAGAAGCCACCTAACATGGGGTGGGTTCATCAATACTGAATGAGCAACGTCACATTAACTTCTGGAATACAAATGTTGAATAATTTATTCCCCGTGTGGGTCCCGGGACCCCACTAAAAGGAAAACAAGAACAAACACATTGCCTCCGCAACAAGCAAGTGGCAGGAGTCTACTAAATGGAAGCTTCATTCGAAGGAATATATCAGGCACTGGATCAAAGGCAAAATCCAAATGGACGGGCAGCAAGGGCTTCAGGCTGGAGGCTACAGCTGGTGAACAAAGAAGAACAAGAAGAACAAAAAAAGAAGAAAAGAAGAAGAAGAAGAAGAAGAAAAGAAGAAGAAGAAGAAGAAGAAGAAGAAGAAGAAGAAGAAGAAGAAGAAGAAGAAGAAGAAGAAGAAGAACGTATAACAGAGGCTGCATACAGACCTGTGACATCGGCTGTGGAGTGGGTGGGGGGGGGGGTTGGGGTTAGGCCCAGTTGTACATGTTATGGTGCCGTTAACAGCGATCACGGCATAGAAGAAGCCTAAAACCCCTCCGACATAGTACAGCTGCTACAAGAGATCGAGGTATCAATGGAAAGGGAGGCACTCTCATTGTTGAGTCTCTTATCGCGACATGTACCAAAATTCTTTTGTTTCAATTGTCGCTAGCCTAAATTATCAAAGTTGAAACTTGATCCATTTATTAAAATCCATTCTTGTTTTTTTCACGGAGATGTGAGCACAACAACCAAACATCAGCGCGCTGGAACTGTCAGATATACAGCTCCATACAGGATTTTGTAAACTGATATTTAGCATAAGGAGTATATAAGGTACAAGTATAAAGAAAGAATAAACATGCATACAATACCCATTAAATTGAATTTTATCTATGACAGTGAATGCAATTAAGGGTTGCTGTTGTCCAACAGTGCCGATTCACGACCTGCCACTGTATTATAGTTCGTTGCAGAAGTCGTACCCAATTTTAAAAATCGGTAAATCGGTAATCGTTTGGTACAAGTTGATGATATTCGTCATGCAACCTGTTAATAACCATGTTCCTGTGAGAAATTGTTTTAAACTTTCATTGTATGTTGGATAGGCTATAAAATAATCACCACACATCTTTGAACAAGAGAACTGATTCATAAACAGTCTCTGCAAGTGTGTTCATGAATTTACAAAACTTTTTTTTTTTTTTTTTTTTTTTTTTTGTTAGGTACGCTAATTATTAGTCAAACAAAGGTTCTGGGACATCTAAGACCATGGCAAAATTTTGTGCTGATCGCTACATGAGTTTTAAATATAAGGCCACGTGCAAACATTTGTGATAATAGGTAAATGAGTTTTCGAAATATTTGTTAGAGCGCACGACTTTTGAAAAGCACTAGAAATGTAATTTATGGTTTAAAAAAAAAAAAAGCAACAACAATAATTAGGCAGGAAGATAGCCAAGGTGTGCGTCGGCTTCGAAGGCGGCGTTTTTGAAAGCATTTCCGTTGGAGTTATTGTTTGCAGAGCTGAGCTCTTCCTGCCTAACCAGCTCGACGCCATTCCTTGCCGAAGTAGCCACACCAGAACGGTTTGGAGTATCGGATTCCTTTTTCAGGCTCAACATTTCAACGTGTGTTCCTGGCCCGATGAACGACAGGACAACTGGAACTAGGAGAACGGCGTGCACCATGCCAAAACCTATCACCAGAAGGGTGATCTTAAAGAATGACTGAAAAATGTAGGATTCTGTGAAGAGGAGTAAGATGATGCCAAGGAGGGATGAGATTCCGCCACTGAAGATAGGGCTCGATGCGTGGACAATGGCGTCTTTGGCTCGTCCGTGGCGTGATGTCTGTTCCGATACCATGTAGGCTGTACATACGTGAGCGCTGGGGATAGAAACGTAGCGATGTTAAAGGAGGCATGAAGTGAAATTATGTTCGTTTTCTTTTCCTTCGCGCTCACCGGCTGTGAACTCCGGCAGAATGTTCTGGTTATGTATCTACTTGAAGACTCTAGTCTTGTTCTCTAACCTGAGTTTATTGTGCATATCCGTTTTACAGATCTGGCTTATTTGTATGCAGACTTTCTTTCCTTGTCTCTCAGGTAGTGCACTCCAACTTAGAGGGAACATCCCTAATTAGTCGTCTCTTACGACATGTCTTGTGATGTGAGAGAGAGAGACAGACAGAAAGAGAGAGAGACAGACAGACAGATAGACCGACAGATAGACAGAGACAGACAGAGAGAGAAGCTGGAAAAGGAAGACTTTACAAAATCAGGGAGAGAGAAAATGAAAGAGGTGGGAACAGAAAGATAGACAGATAAACAGACGGACGGACGGGCAGACAGGCAGACAGACGGACAGATAGACAGGTATACGCAAGAACGTATGGACGGACATATAGAAGGACGGATGGATGGACAGATTAGACAGATAGATAGACAGACTGATTGACAGACATACACTACGAACAGACAGAAGGACGGATGGACAGATAAGACAGACCGACAGATTGACGGACGGATAAACAGACAGAAGGACAAACGGATGGACAGACAAGACATACAGAAGGACGGACATACGGACGGACAGACGGACGGACCGACGGACAGACAGAGAGGGAGAATGACCACAAACCAGGACAACTGACCAGAAATCCACAGAGAAACCAACGCTCATGATCAGATGTATCATCGTCACCGAGCTGAGAGTGAGGTCCCATATGCCCATGAAACCGAAGACTCCAACAACGATCATCACCACTTGAATCATCACCAACATCACCATCAGAGGGTGCGGCAGGAAGATGCTGGTTGCTATTAACATCACTGCAAACGGAAATGACAAAAGATTGATGATAAAAAGGCTGTATACATGAGTATAACACATCTTCTATTCTTCTGTCGAAGAACGTATATCAGAAGGCTAGTAGCCTTTTTAAGAAACCAAGCGTGCAGTCATTATGTTTGTCTTCACTGACGCTGGAACACGCCAGCTTGCATCTCTGTTGGCAGCAGACAGTTGGCAGTATCGGAGCACACGATCGGCATTTTCTGGTTCGAATCCGTCGCCGTGTTTCCTAGATGAAAAAAACTTGAGTATTGGCGACTTCGTAATGCCGGGGTGCTGGGTTCGATCCCAGCTGCGCGCCCTGCGCCTTGCGTTGGTTTCGACAGTGGTATCAAGGGTCTGACCGTCCAAAAAGCAAAAGCAAACTACTGGACGTAAATTTGCCAAGAGAAACCACACAACAGCCAGGGGCTGATGGGGTTGGTTCTGCAACGTCCTGTAAAGTATACGCAACTAACCTTATATGTTGGCGACGCCTGTTATTCCCTGTCCTTAATCTGAATATAACACACTACCACTCTCTAGAAAGGTGATGAAGTGAGTCTTGAAGAGAAAATTGGGTGTGTGTATCCATCTACGTTTTGTGGATACTAGTCTTAGTCTCTTGCTGAGCTGTGTCCCTATTTGATCTCATCATATCACTGCCGCTATTGGCCGATCAATGCCTTGCAAACCACAGTGACCTGAAATCAACTGCTATACACACTGTTCTACCTAAAAGCTTAAGAGAAGCAGCCGTTGCTTCAAGCCTACAACTAAGAGTAAACACCTCCACATTTGTTCTGTCAACTTCCAAGCCTATCGTTTTGCCCGAAAGAATGCCTCACATTCTGGCCACAATTTTCTGCAGGCTGACTTCATCGTTTCTAAATCGCTTGCACTTAGGCTTCGTCACGGATGCTTAAAAATGAGATTATGAAGTGACTCCCCCCCCCCCCTCCCGCCCTGTGACAATACGCTCGGTGGCTCCAGAATGTCTTTCCTCAACCTACTTTTATGTGTATGTATTTTGAAGCATACAGACAAATAGGGATTTGGATACATCCTTAATCTAAATAGGATGACCACATCACACCTTTAATTCTCCTGGACCGTTGGTCATATCAAACACTACAACTTTTCCCCAGATGTTAAGTGTTAAGGTACAGAGATAAGACTGACCAAGCAGACTTACTGACTGGAGATTTGCACACCATCTGTTGGTGTCAGATATTTTATCTCCTAGCCAGACTTTTAGGAGCAGCTAACTCCGGCTAATTGTGTTTAATTCCACCTGAGGTTACCTAACTCGACGGCAGGTCCGACGGTCACTATTGACACAGTGAGCGGAAAGTGTTGGCAGAAGAATTGACATAGTCGGATTTTATTGTGATGACAGGTGAAGTAGACTAGAGGTGTGACTTGTCATATTTGCTCTGGCCAGATGAATTGACCAGGAGATCCTAGCGTGGGAATTTGAACAAGTGTTGTCCAGCCCTGACTGACAGCGAATAAACTTACCCACAGGGAGGAGCTGTGATATCCTTGAATGAGAATGATTTTAGGCGTAATGTAGGAGGAGCTTGATAAAAGTTATAAAGGGCTGAACTCTAGGTCTGGTAAATGAGATCCTGTCCAGCACATGCCATCTGTTGGGCTTAACCTAAGCTTGAGACAGAACTTTTGGCATTGTGGTTTCATTTTTCCAGTTCCCACATTGGGCAGGGACTAGTAGGCATCCATTATTTGCCGACCGTCGAGTGTAACGACCTGCAGAAAGCAGTGAGGACGACAAACTGGAAAAGATAGGCAGGGTCTCAAGCCGAGAACTGTCCAAAGGTTGTTACTTTCCAATACCTTTATGATTTCATCATTCACATCATTCCAACTCTACTAGCCTAAACAAGTTCATTTTAATTTCGATTTATTCAAATAAATCATGTGTGATGAGTTTCATGATAGTTGAGTAAATTGTGTACTTAGGTTCAAGTGTCTTTGTGCATATTAGTTTACTTCAGCTAACAAATATTTAAATCACTTGATGGGGGCTTTTAAGTAATGCCAGGAGAGGAGAATAGTCGCAGGGGTTAACTGTGTATTGAGATAATATCACAGTGGGTGTATCCTGATATCTATCTATCCCTTCTCCTACTCCTGTGGATACAAGTACAGCAACTTTCATTTCATGGAACGAGCCACTCGCTGTTTTCTTGGCTATCCAGGACTGTCTAGGATCAACATAGCTTAGATAATAGTCCAGTTTCTCACGTGGGTGGGCATTGTTAAGGTTCAAACCCACACCCTCACTATATCAGTGTATTTACCCACGTGGGCGCGCGACACGCCCTCCCCACCTGAATCACTGCTTTGATCAAGATTTGTGTGGTTTGCAATAAAATGCTAGTCCATGGGTTGGATTAGAGGAGTCGACATTATCACATCTCGTGAAATACCGTTTTTGCTCTTTTCCCTCTCGTCCTTTACTTTAACCAAATTCGCTGTTTGGGTTGCTTGCATAGTCTCTCTCCATCGCCATCTTGGTCTTTTCTTTGGTCTACTTACGTTCAACTCCTTTGCAGCACAGTCTCTCTCTCTCTCTCTCTCTCTCTCTCTCTCTCTCTCTCTCTCTCTCTCTCTCTCTCTCTCTTTCTCTTTTCTCTCTCTCTCTCTCTTTCTCTCTCTTTCTCTCCTCTCTTTCTCTTTCTCTCTCTCTCTCCCTCCGTCTCTCTCTTTCTCTCTCTCTCTTTCTCTTGCTCTCCCTCTCTTTCTATCTCTTTCTCTCTCTCTCTTTCTCTTTCTTTCTCTCTCTTTCTCTTTTTATTTCTCTCTCCTTTTCTTTCTCTTTCTCTCTCTCTTTCTCTCTCCCTTTCTCTCTTTCTCTTTCTCTCTCTCTCTTTCTCTCTCTATCTCTCTTTTCTCTCTCTCTCTCTCTCTCTCTCCCTCCGTCTCTATCTTTCTTTCTCTCTCTCTTTCTCTTTCTCTCTCTCCATCCGTCTCTCTTTCTTTCTCTCTCTTCTCTCTTTCTTTCTCTTTCTCTCTCTCTTTATCTATCTCTATTTCTCTCTTTCTCTTTGCCTCTCTCTTTCTCTCTCTTTCTCTCTCTTTCTCTCTTTCTCTTTCTCTTCTCTCTGTGTCTTTCTCTTTCTCTCTCTCTCTCTCTCTCTCTCTCTCTCTCTCTCTCTCTCTGTTATCTACCATTCTCCATGTTGCCCCTTTAATGCCAGCATCTAGTTTTGATTTGTACATAGTAAAAGAAAAAGATAAAGAAGATACATTGAGATTTAATGTAAACATACCTGCTAGTGTAACTCCAATCGTCTGAAGCGTGCTGGGCCACACCTCGACATACTGCTCAAAGTATACGAAGGCGGGATGGAACGCAAACACTTTCGCTGGGGAGGCATCTGCCACTTCCCTCATGTAGCTCATGACGTGTGCCTGGATAGTGGAGTCTGTCACCTGTTGAGTATTTGGTCACCAGAGACGTATGGGTTATGATATGATACGACTAAGAACGGGAAACAACACACTTTGCCAATATATGTTCGAAATTTTTCAGTGTAGAGAACACGGAAACGCCTCCTTGCAACTTGGCCCCAACTGCTTCAACACTATCAAATGTATACTGCCAACAGAGACGCAATCTGACCTTTTTTGACACCAGTGAAGACAAAGCTGTATGGTACACGAGGAAGACATGGGCTGCATGATAGCTTTCAAAAAGGCTAACGGCCTCCTGATATAAGTTTTCTAACAAGGTTCGAAGAACAAGATACGGCAGGTAAGTGTGTTATTATGCTTATTGATACGGAAGCAGACAGGCTCCCACAACATCAGCAAAATATAGACAGGTTTCTACAACATCAGCAACATATAGACTGTGCTCTACAATACCAGCAACATATAGACAGGGCTATACAATAACAGCAAAATATAGACTGGGCTCTCACAACATCAGTCTCATGTAGACTAGGTTCTACAACCTCAGAAACATCTAGATGGTCTCAGAATCACATAGACTGGGCTCTACAACGTCAGCAACATATTGACTAGGCTCCACAACATCAGAATCAAATAGAGTGAGCTCTGCAACATCATCAACATATAGACTAGGCCTTACAACATCAGCATCATATAGAGTGGGCTCTGCAACATCATCAACATATAGACTAGGCCTTACAACATCAGCATCATATAGAGTGGGCTCTACAACATCATCAACACATAGACTAGGCCTTACAACATCAGAATCATATAGTGGGCTCTGCAACATCATCAACATATAGACTGGGCTCTGCAACGTCAGCAACATATTAACTATGCTCTACAACATCAGCACCATAAAGACTGGGTTCTACAGTCTTAGAAACCTATAGACTGGGATCTATTAGCTCAGCAACATATAGATAGTCTCAGTATAATTTGAACTGGGCTCTACAATATCAGCATCACAAAAAGTGGGCTCTACAACATCAGATACATATAGACTGTTATCTACAACTTCAGCAACGTATAGAATGGGCTCTTCAACATCAGCAACGATATATAAACTTGATTCTGCAACTTTAATTTCACATTATCTAGGCTCTACGTGATCAGTAACATATTGAATGGTCTATTAACCAATATAGCAAAACGAGTTAAATAACAAAGGAGGGATGGGGGAGAGAAAAAAAAAACGTTCTCTTCGCACTCTACTAGAAGTTCTTCCCTTGCTTTTGTTTATTCGATTCCTATTATTTCAAATAAATTATTATAACCATGTGCCACTCATCTCGTTAAAATAATATATTAAATATATTATTATATTTTTGCTCTATTAATCCTATTATTGTTATGTTTGTTTGTTTTAGTATCCAGAAGCAATGAGCTGTTAACCCTTAGGCTCGGTATTATGGATATCGCAACCTTTCGGCCTTGATTCCATTGTAAATACCGTAAATCTGGGAGAAATGTGGCTTTTCTGCCTACCCCCGGGATTGAACTCGGACGACAAGGAGTTCGTTACCCGGTCTCCGCGCAGTCCGGTTTAGCCAACTAATGCTAGAGAGCAGGGCATAATTGTTATAATTTTTATTCGTAATAATATGACTATTATGACCATCATCGTTTTTAGACACTTAAACTGGACTTAAGGTTCCATAAATACCTGTCAAATATTCCAATAGAATATTTGTAAGGGTTCCAATTTCTTTATTTGAGTCTAGCCACTGATACGGGACCCTTTCTCACGCCTTTATGCGTTTTGGGTATACAAGGCTGGAACTATATTGTATAGAGCAATTGGCACTTGATTGGTGATATAGTCGACATCACGCCAGCAGTTTTTACGTTTAAGGGCTGAACCTGTACCCACTCAAAGCTGGGTCGACCTGGTAGCCATGGTCATTTTATGAAGAAAGCCCGGTGACGACAGGACGCCAACCCACGACCTTGCGATCCACAGGCAAGCGGCTTAATAACATACAATAATTACTTACCTTGCGAGTGTAGGCGTGGCATCTCGAGGCCACGATGGTCCTGTTGTCGTCACCAAACGCGAGGTCGTTGTAGAACCGAGGCTCGTGTTTGGTGAGAAACTCGTGAAGACCGTCGTAGAACGCCTCTTCGCTGCTCGTGTTGTACAAGGGCGACTTGGCTAGGGTGGTCAGCCAACAGCTGTCAACAAGGGGATCTATGAGTGGGTCTTTGCGAGCGGTTTCCAGAAGTTCCATTATGTCCTGCGCAAAAGGATTAAACAATGAACGGTTAGTTCCACGTAAGTCCTCCAGAGACCGCCATATACACACTAGCTCACTTCTGATTGGTCGAGCCTGATTCACCCAACCCTCGCACACTGCTACGGGGGTGTTCAGCAATGCCGCTGATATCGCGTGTTGTATAATTAAGCACTCCAGCGCTTTTAACACTACAAAAACATTTTGAAACTGGGTCTAACACACAACTCCCATAGAGAGTGCTGCAACCTATGTAAAAAGCATTCTCTTTCTCGGAAGAAAAACGTAAATGCAAGACAAGCCAGAAAGCAAACCACAACGGGCATACACGCAACTTCCCAGACAGCAGACCAGTCCAAAAAAGTTATCAATGGAACGTGACTTAGTTTGTTTGTATAGACAAACGTGGAACTGAATCAATGAACCTCTGTAGTGTGTTTAAAAACTTATGCCGTCACACTTAAACAAATGTCTGGTTTAAAGTAACTGAAATCTACCCAAACAGAGTAGGTCACTTTTCATTCACAGGCTCGTTAGGCTGGTCGACTTTCCTGAAGGTCACACGTGTCCCCCGCTCTATTGTCTGCTTTCTGAGTTGTCTTACATTTAAGTTTTCATTCTGAGAAAGAGAATGCCTGTGACATAGGTTGCAGCACTCCTCGTGGGAAAGGGGGCAGGAGGGGGGGGGGGCAGTAGTGTGTTTGAGCCAATTTCTCCATGTTTTTTGGAGCGTTAAAAGCACTGGCGTGCTGAAATCTACAACACTCGATATCAACGGCATCGCGGAACACCCCGGTAACCTTGTGCCAAGGTGACAGGTTCAGGAACGACCAACCAGAAGTGACCTAGTGTGTACGTGGGCAGGGCATGAGGAGATTAACGTTACGTGTACCAATATCTGGATAACTACTGTACGGAACAACATTAATTTTTGCACACGGCCTTAGATCTTGCTTTTATGTCCACACGATTCTATAATTTACAATAGCGCAGATGCTGCTGTTTTCTTAAAGCGACTAATTTCTGTGATTTTTGTTTGACTAATCATTTCCGTACCCCTGAAAAATACATTATACAGTAAATGACACCAACTTGTAGAGATTGTTTGGAAATCAGTTCACACGTGCTGCGACGCATGGTGATTATTTTGATAGCCTATTCCACATTCAATGAAAAAAAACGCAGCTGACGGGAGACTTGTGCAGAAGATAACCAACTGAGAGTGATACGCGTGCAATTTAATGTTTTGAAAAGTTCCCCTTATTCAGTTTAGGAAATTACTGCACGCATGCTGATTTTTTGCTCTAAATGGGTGACTGTATATTCATATACCGCAAGTAAAGCAAAATGAAGACTAGATGTTTACCTTTAAAAAACAAGTATTACAAAGACGTGATTATAACAGTAAAATTCTTCTGAAAATCATAATGGGAAAACTTCATAAGAAAATGGAAGAAGATATTAAAGTGGTTGAAGCTAGATTTAGACAAGGAAGAGGAACAAGAGATCACATCCTCAACATGAGTTTAATAATAGAGAATTTAATGTAAACCAAATAGTTTTTTTGGATTATTCAATAGCATTTGACTGTGTACAACATCGGAAACTTTAGGAAATCATGAGGAATATGGGCTTTCCATCACATGTAGAACACATCATAACAATGCTCTATCCAGACCAACAGGCAGCGGTTAGAATGGATGGCGAGACATCAGACCAGTTTGACATCAAGCAAGGAGTCCGTCAGGGCTGTGTGCTGTCCCCCTATTTTTTTTTAACCTGTACATCGAAATTATAATGAGAAAAGTCAGAGATGATATAACCAGAGAGCGATATGATGCCCTAAATAAGGGTGGTCATGAAATACCAGAGATCCGATCTGCTGATGATACAGTATTGCTATCCACATCACAGAAAACCCATTAACCGTAACCCAAAGAAGTAGTGAAAATCACAACTTATATCTTAACATAGCAAAAACAAAAATAATGCATACGGATAAAAACTACAATGGAGAAAGAAATATGTGTTAATGAGGAACGATTGGGAGTTGTGGACAATTTTGAATATCTTGGGTCATTGATTACCAACAATGTTGACATAATGAAAGAAATTAAACGACGACTATCAATTGCTCTTCAAATATTAAAACAACTAAATAATTTATGAAGTGTGACATACAGAACTACACAAATCAGAGTTCTATGAGCGTGCAGATCTACCATTGCAACATACGCCTGTGAGACCTAGACATTTACTGTACAAGCTGAACAGCGCATAAATGTCTTTGCATACAAACTTTATAGACGGGTTCTAAGAATTTATAGGTTTAAAAAAATGCTTCCATACTTCAAGAACCTAATTTTAAAGTAAGTTTGCTATTAAAGACGATAAAACACAGAGAACTGAAATATTTTGGTCACTTGAAACCTCACAAACGTTTGAAGAGAACAGTAATGGAGGGGTGAATGACTGGGAAGGAAGGAAGATGACGGCCAAAGAGAAGATAGGTTGCAGGATGTGGTGGATGATCTCCAGAGAAAGAGCTAGAGAATGACTTACTATGACCGTCTGGGTGTCCCAGTATTCCTTTGGGGTGGTTGTGACAAACGCAATGGGGATCTTGACCCCGAAGTCATTGCTGTCCCATATCTGTGGATACAACATACAGGGAATTAGGTGCACACTTCTGATACCTGTACTTGAGGCTGTGCAAACATGTACTATAGCCTACTTCTCCCTTATCTAAAAACTTTTCTGAGGCCCCCCCCTCCCACACCCCTCCAACAATCAGCGGGACAAATCCGCCCCAGGAACCACCCCCACCCCGACCAAACCCCTTTCCGGACTGAACCCACCCCCCTCCTCAAGACTGAACACACCCCCCCCCCCCCGGGGACCGAACACACTTCCCGGGGGGTTAAAACCCTAGGGGACCGACCCCCACCCCCCAACCCCTTCAGGTATATCGCTCTGATATATTAAATATACATGAACAATTAACTGAAGCGTGTAAAGCAATCCCAACATGTGTAAACGATCAAGTATATATTACCTGGTACTTGTGAAAATACGATGAGGGTAGCACAAGGTCTTTCAGGTCGAGACCTTGGCGTAAGATGGTACAGCCCCAGATAGAAACAGCCAGGTATCCGGCAAACACCAACAGCACGATGATGCGAACAGGGGTCCACATCAGGAATCTAATCAAGGTGTATACAAAATAGGCATCGAGGTTAGAAACGAAATTGATTGACTGACTGTTGTTTCGGTTGCTACTGGACACAACAGTCTCTGTGGCTATAGGTACAAGAAATTCGAGAATAGGGATTCAAATCTTTGCTCATGTGGACAAGCACCAGAGAATACTGAACATGTCCTACAGATAAGCTTTCTACATGCAGTAGAGTGATCCCAGGTTTGGTGGGTTGGCATTACAATGGAAATGAAGCTGTTTGGAACAGTTGAGAATAGGTGTCGCATCACTGACTTCATAGAGGTCTGTGGCCTGCTCATCTAAAAACCATCAGCAGGAACACCATCTAAAGGATACGATCTTGTTGTTGTTGTTGTTGCTGCTGTGCTGCTGCTGCTCTTCTTGGTGTTGTTGTGTGAATACCTTTCTACTTGTCCCTTTCTACTTGTCGTTTGCTAGACACTTTACATTTTTTGGTCATATCATGAGAGGGAGAAACCTAAAGTGCATCTTCTTCTTCCTCTTCTTCATTTCTATACTACTGGAACGTCTCGCGGTAGTAAGGCAGAAAGAGAGCTATGGAACGGTCCCTTCTCTTTGCTTCGTATAAAGTTCTTTTAAGTGTCTTTGAAATTGCTGCGGTCCATCTTCCGCGTGACACCCGAAGCAGTAAAAGAGAAAGTGAAAAAGAGAAAGAAGAAGCAGAAGAAAGTCCTGTAGTTCTTCTAGTATCTTCATTTCTTACATAATCTCTTCTGGTTTCGTTCGCAGGCTTTCTTAAACACGTTTTTTTTTGGGGTTGAAGGTTGTTAGTTGTCTCTGGTCGTCTTTAGCTGATGTCTAAGTCCGACACGGAGAAACTAAATTTGGAACAAAGGCAGCAGTTAATATGTCATGTTAATCTCTGTTTGAAAACTGAGGTAAGTTGTTACGTAACTTTAAACTTTTGCTTCTATCTCTCTGAGAAGTCTACCAGTGTATTGTCTACACGCATGAATACTAATTAATACGTTCCAAAAACTAGGGGCCATAGTGGTGTAGCGGCTATATTCTTGCCTGCGGATCCGAAGGTCGTAAGTTCGAGTCCCGATGGAAACATATTTTTTTTCAAAAATGACTTTGGCTTCCAGGTCGGCCTAGCCTTAAATGGGTGCCAGGAACAGTCATGGGAATTGATCGCGGCCTTCGTGATGTTAACTGTATCACCCCCTCCCCAGAGTACTGATTGGTTTATAAAATATAGGTCTAGCCCTATTCGTTTCAAGGCGTGGTAAAGGGTTATTTACTTTGTATACTTAATTTGTATATCCATAACAAATTACACCTACATGACAAGCGCTTTTCTGGGCCCTTTCTCAAAGACGCTTTGCTCTTCGTCAGGGCTCTCTGGGATTTTGCCACCACACAAGCAGACGTAGCAACAGGAATGTCCACTTTCGCTGAGCTCCTTCCGAGACTTTTCCACTTTCTGGCAAGTGACGACGTGTCGTTTAGAGTACACTCGGCGGCCATGAATGGCCAGGCAGGCTCCAAACACAGAAGCGTTACAGACGTAGCAAAAGAGAACGCCGACGCCTGAAATAACAGAGTTAGTGGGTTGTTGAAAGTTGTTCATTATTCACAGAAGTAAAACAAAAAAATGGTGTCAGTAAACTGTTCAAGAACCGCCCTGGTGTAGCGGCTACATCATTGCCTGTGGATCAGAAGGTGGTGGGTTCGGATCCTGACCGAGCCTGACTTGTTTCAAACATGACCTTGGCTTCCAGGTCGAATTAGCCTTATGTGGTTACGAGGTACCGTCCTGGAAAGTAAAATCGGCTGGTGTGATGCTGACCTCACCACCCACCAAGTGTCGATTGGTCTATAAAATATAGGTCTAGCCCTATATGCCCAATACTCCTGAAGTCAGAGAAAAGGGTCTTTTACCTACTTTGACATTGTAGAAGTGTTTATTATCCCAGAACTAAAGGAATAAAATTGCGTCAGCATGTTATAATTTTTTTACTTATTTAAATCAAATTATTTTTTTTTTTTAAATTTAACATGGACTAGTGAAAGCAAAGATATGGAACGGCAGTTAAATGCGCACAGGAACAGATGCCTCAGATTCTGACCATAGGCCCACAGCCAACGCACGCCCAGTCGTTCTATCCCTCATTATTGCATGCAGCTCCCTCCATGTCCTCTCCATCTGTTTAACTTCACTCTCTAGCTCCGCTCTCTATGATTTTTTATTTTATTTTTGTCTGCCTTTATTTCTGTACCCCTAGTGGGTTCTAGAGCAAGGACATTCTAGTTATATTGTTTTCACGTTTTCTCAACGTGCGCCCTATCCAACGTCAGCGTCTTTTCTTCACCTCTCGGTCCACTGGAACCTGTCTGGTTCTCGCCAAAAGCTCATCATTAGTGACTACATTAATTCCCTCTATTCTGCGCAGGCACCAGCTAATGAATGACTGCAGTTTGTTAAAACCTGTTTAAGTTTTTCTCCACGATTCAGCTCCCCCCCCCCCCTTTTTTTTTTTACCTTTACATATTTCCTAGTGCAAAGAAAGCTCCTCTTACCTTTTATATTCAGATTTTAATATCTCTATCAGTATCTGTTTCACTAACCCAAACAGGTGTATGGTTCCACGTTCTGGAGTGAGATACCATTAAGAGAAATCCCTTTACTATTTGCCTGATTTATTCTCATGATCTTTGTTCTTCCCTCATGCATTTTTAGACCAGGTCTTTAATGACAAAGTAGGGAGGATCAGAAACAAACAAACCTGTGTAGATGCAGAAGTAACTGACTCCTCGGAAAATGCTGACCGCTCCAATAGCAAAGGCAAGAAAATCGGTAACTGCGAAACAAGGTTACAAATATGACGAATGAGCATACGACTCAGTGTTTGTTTGCATGTCTAGCAATCTGTAAAACATGCAACCAAATTAATTCTCTATCGATCCATTCAAAAACTCAGTCAGTTCGTCTATCTATCTATCTATCTATCTATCTATCTATCTATCTATCTATCTATCTATCTATCTATCTATCTATCTATCTATCTATCTATCTATCTATCTATCTATCTATCTATCTATCTATCTATCTATCTATCTATCTATCTATCTATCTATCTATCTATCTATCTATCTATCTATCTATCTATCTATCTATCTATCTATCTATCTATCTATCTATCTATCTATCTATCTATCTATCTATCTATCTATCTATCTATCTATCTATCTATCTATCTATCTATCTATCTATCTATCTATCTATCTATCTATCTATCTATCTATCTATCTATCTATCTATCTATCTATCTATCTATCTATCTATCTATCTATCTATCTATCTATCTATCTATCTATCTATCTATCTATCTATCTATCTATCTATCTATCTATCTATCTATCTATCTATCTATCTATCTATCTATCTATCTATCTATCTATCTATCTATCTATCTATCTATCTATCTATCTATCTATCTATCTATCTATCTATCTATCTATCTATCTATCTATCTATCTATCTATCTATCTATCTATCTATCTATCTATCTATCTATCTATCTATCTATCTATCTATCTATCTATCTATCTATCTATCTATCTATCTATCTATCTATCTATCTATCTATCTATCTATCTATCTATCTATCTATCTATCTATCTATCTATCTATCTATCTATCTATCTATCTATCTATCTATCTATCTATCTATCTATCTATCTATCTATCTATCTATCTATCTATCTATCTATCTCTGTCTGTCTGTCTGTCTGTCTGTCTGTCTGTCTGTCTGTCTGTCTGTCTGTCTGTCTGGCTGTCTGTCTGTCTGTCTGTCTGTCTGTCTGTCTGTCTGTCTGTCTGTCTGTCTGTCTGTCTGTCTGTCTGTCTGTCTGTCTGTCTGTCTGTCTGTCTGTCTGTCTGTCTGTCTGTCTGTCTGTCTGTCTGTCTGTCTGTCTGTCTGTCTGTCTGTTCGTCTGTCCGTCTGTCTGTCTATCTATCTGTCTGTATGTCTGTCTGTCTGTCTGTCTGTCTGTCCATCTATCTATATGTCTGTCTGTCCATCTATCTAACTGTCTGTCTGTCCATCTATCTAACTGTCTGTCTGTCTAATCTGTCTGTCTGCTTGTCTAACTATCTAGCTATATATCCATCCATCCACTTACCCATCCATGCATCCATCCATGCATCCACCCATGCGTCCACACATGTATCCACTCATGCATCCACTCATGCATCCACTCATGCATCCACTCATGCATCCACTCATGCATCCATCTATGCATTCACTTATGCATCCATCTTGCATCAATCCATATACCCACCCATGCATAAATGCATGTCTCTATCCATGCATCGATCCGTTTCAATCCATGGCATCCACCCATGGATCAATCAATGCATCAATTCATGCATCCATCTATTCATCCACCCATGCATCCACCCATGCATCCATCCTTGCAACCATTCATGCATTCACCCATGCAACCACCCATACCTCCTTCAATGCATCCATCCATCCACATTCTTTTCTTAGGGAGAGTGGGCCACGGTGCTTCAGTTTTGTTTAAATGCACAATAATGACCAGGATGACGATTGTGATGAAAATAATGGCGTGCTGAATGACAAACACATATAATAATGTATTTAAAATAATTTGAATTGCATAAACAAAAACATAGCAAGGTAAAAGTCTATAAATGGTTTGGGATAGTGTAGATGCAGAAGTAACTGACTCCTCGGAAAATGCTGACCGCTCCAATAGCAAAGGCAAGAAAATCGGTAACTGCGAAACAAGGTTACAAATTTGACGAATGAGCATACGACTCAGTGTTTGTTTGCATGTCTAGCAATCTGTAAAACATGCAACCAAATTAATTCTCTATCGATCCATTCAAAAACTCAGTCAGTTCGTCTATCTATCTATCTATCTATCTATCTATCTATCTATCTATCTATCTATCTATCTATCTATCTATCTATCTATCTATCTATCTATCTATCTATCTATCTATCTATCTATCTATCTATCTATCTATCTATCTATCTATCTATCTATCTATCTATCTATCTATCTATCTATCTATCTATCTATCTATCTATCTATCTATCTATCTATCTATCTATCTATCTATCTATCTATCTATCTATCTATCTATCTATCTATCTATCTATCTATCTATCTATCTATCTATCTATCTATCTATCTATCTATCTATCTATCTATCTATCTATCTATCTATCTATCTATCTATCTATCTATCTATCTATCTATCTATCTATCTATCTATCTATCTATCTATCTATCTATCTATCTATCTATCTATCTATCTATCTATCTATCTATCTATCTATCTATCTATCTATCTATCTATCTATCTATCTATCTATCTATCTATCTATCTATCTATCTATCTATCTATCTATCTATCTATCTATCTATCTATCTATCTATCTATCTATCTATCTATCTATCTATCTATCTATCAATCTATCAATCTATCTATCTATCTATCTATCTATCTATCTATCTATCTATCTATCTATCTATCTATCTATCTATCTATCTATCTATCTATCTATCTATCTATCTATCTATCTATCTATCTATCTATCTATCTATCTATCTATCTATCTATCTATCTATCTATCTATCTATCTATCTATCTATCTATCTATCTATCTATCTATCTATCTATCTATCTATCTATCTATCTATCTATCTATCTATCTATCTATCTATCTATCTATCTATCTATCTATCTATCTATCTATCTATCTATCTATCTATCTGTCTGTCTGTCTGTCTGTCTGTCTGTCTGTCTGTCTGTCTGTCTGTCTGTCTGTCTGTCTGTCTGTCTGTCTGTCTGTCTGTCTGTCTGTCTGTCTGTCTGTCTGTCTGTCTGTCTGTCTGTCTGTCTGTTCGTCTGTCCGTCTGTCTGTCTATCTATCTGTCTGTATGTCTGTCTGTCTGTCTGTCTGTCTGTCTGTCTGTCTGTCTGTCTGTCTGTCTGTCTGTCTGTCCATCTATCTATATGTCTGTCTGTCCATCTATCTAACTGTCTGTCTGTCCATCTATCTAACTGTCTGTCTGTCTAATCTGTCTGTCTGCTTGTCTAACTATCTAGCTATATATCCATCCATCCACTTACCCATCCATGCATCCATCCATGCATCCACCCATGCGTCCACACATGCATCCACTCATGCATCCACTCATGCATCCACTCATGCATCCACTCATGCATCCACTCATGCATCCATCTATGCATTCACTTATGCATCCATCTTGCATCAATCCATATACCCACCCATGCATCAATGCATGTCTCTATCCAAGCATCAATCCGTTTCAATCCATGGTATCCACCCATGGATCATTCAATGCATCAATTAATGCATCCATCTATTCATCCACCCATGCATCCATCCTTGCAACCACCCATACCTCCTTTCATGCATCCATCCATCCACATACTTTTCTCAGGGAGAGTGGGCCACGGTGCTTTAGCCTTGTTTAAATGCACAATAATGACGATTGTGAGGAAAATAATGGCGTGCTGAATGACAAACACATATAATAATGTATTTAAAATAATTTGAATTGCATAAACAAAAACATAGCAAGGTAAAAGTCTATAAATGGTTTGGGATAGTTTTGGGTAGGATGCAGGGGGGAGACCGAGAGAAATGATACTGCACAGTTAGACATCATGGCATGAAAGATCATCTGTGTAAGATCAGATTAATTGTACACAAGACAGAAGGATGTGGATAGACATGACTATCAACGCCACACACCGTGCACTATACGAAGAAGAAGAAGATGACGACGACGGTCATGATAATGTTGATGATGATGTCGATAGTGGTGGAGATGATGCGGATAACGATGATGATCGTGGGATGGTGGTTGTGGTAGTGATTTTGATGGTGAAGATAATGTTAATGGTGATAATGATGATGATAAGGGAGCTGATAATGGCGCGGAAGGTGGTGATTATGAAGAAGATAATGATAATTACAATCATTATGATAAATTACCAGAGGTAATCGTGATTCCAATGCCTGCTTTCTTAAAGACGGTGCCCATCCTCTCCGGCACTGTGAGGTCCGGCAGTGACAACGTCTCACTCCAACTGCCCATCAACAAGAACATGTCGTCCACGCCAATGCCTGTTCACAATAAAATAACTATTAAGGAAATCTTGCAACACCCTGCTATTTCTACAGAGATCTTCCTCTTCGGTGGCGTCCGTGGCTTGGGCTATGCGAGTCCGACTCGTAATTCCAACTTACCGCGATCGAAACCCAATGATGGCTGCATGGATTTTTATCATGGTGTGGGGTATCTCAGGTCGACCCAGCCTAAAATGGGTAAAAGGATGGCTGTGCTGGAGAAGAAAAGGCGGCTGACATAATGCTGACCACATTATCCACCTAGTGCTGATGGTTTGTACAAATATGGGCTCTCTTTCCATATACCCGTTACGTCTAAAGGTGTGAAAAGGAATCTTTACTTTACACTTTACTTGCTTCTTCTTTGTTGACCGGCTGTAAGCTCGACGGAAAGTCCTGGTTTTTCGTCCATTTGGACTTTGGCTTTGTGCAAGGGCCTGTGTTTTGAGTGTACATCCGTTTTACTGCCTTATTTGCGTGATGCTGGTTGTTTCTTGCCACTCCGGCAGATGCTCTGCGACTTCGAAGGAAACCCCAATGTCGACTCTTACGACATGTTTTTCGGGGAGGCAGTGGATCTATTCTTGTTTTTCCTGCAATGATGCAATAGAATCCGCAAAGGGACAATATAGATAAAAAGGTAAATTTTAAATGCAAATCATCATCATCCTCATAAACTTCTGCCATAAAGCGACGTGGGGAGGATTAATGTGCGATCCAGTACACGCTGGTTGGCACTGGCTATTGTCATGCCGTAAAGGCGTAAAGTATCTTTAATGTCGTCGATCCATTTTCTCGTGGCCGTCCTCATGACCTTGCAGGTGATCTTCGGAGATGCAGTGCATGTGACGGTGTCCTGATGGTATTGTGATGGGATACCTTCATACGAGATAAAGTCTGCACAGAAGCAATTCTAAATTACATACAGACACGACAAATCAAATGGTTTGCTTACTTTGAGAGAATGCCTTCTGATGCTATACCATACAAGGTATATATCAAAAGAGGAGAGGGACTAAGAGCAAGAGATAGACCGAGAAGAAGATGGGAAGATAATATCAGAGAAACTCTACAGCACCACGATGTGTCTGTAGTCGAGGCAGCCAGAAGAGCACGAAGCAGGACCTTATATCTACCTCGACACCCGAAGCGGTAAAAAACAAACGTAGAAGTGAAGAAGAAGAAGCAGAAGGCCGAACCACTTGATCTGCTTGCTGTTTCTGTATTTATCTAGTACAAGGTGTAGCGCCCTCTATCTACCTGGTAGTATCATTATTCACTTGATCTCGGATGGTTATGTTGACGGCTTTTCTTAGGCATTTCATTGCGCAGGTGGCGATTTTGTGTACATGAGCTTAACATAATGTCCATGTTTAGCACTCGTAGCTGAGTGTTAGAATGAATATGCTGTTTACAATCTGTTCCTTTGCACTCCTAATTATGTTTAAATGCCTTAAAAATGGTGTCAGTTGGTATATAAATGCACTTGTTTTCTGTCACCTATTTTCTATTTCTCTGTCATTTCCAACATCTTCTCTGATCACACTCCTTATTTTATTTACATAATGATTTATACATCATTTATAAATGATTTATTTGCAATTCAGACAGATGAGGCTCTTCAAAACAGGAGTGCAGCCCGTCTAGAAGAACGATGACAATGATCTCTAGCCCTATGGAAGCTGCCCTACCCAAGACAAGCTCCTCGGGACTAATCCACGAGGAACAATACGGAGCTGGAATCTCTAAAGCGGCCCAGCAGTGTTTACAGTGTTGCTCTAGCAATTTCTGCAGCCCCCTTAGGACCAACCCTTTTTGGCAGTTGCCCTTCCACTTACATTGGGACCCGCCATGGCGTAGCGGCTAAACGCTCGCCTGCGGATCGAAAGGTCGTGGGTTCAGGTTCTGCCGGAGCCGGACTTTTGCCCCCCCCCCCCCCCCCAATTGACATTGGCACTCAGATCGGCCTTAAACTGGTAGCAGATAGTTAGTGCGGCTGGCCAAATGTTGGTCAGATCACCCACAATACCGATTGGTCTATAAAAATATATGCCAGCCCTAAATGCCCAATACGCCTGAAGTTGCGGAAAATGGACTTTAACTTCCATTGACATTACCGGTGACGTAGAAAGGCGTTGCCTGCTGCCTGTGCAACGGCCTGTTCTCTAATTCAACATTCCTGTGCTCTAGAAAGGTCACTCTAGCGCGGCCTTTCAGCTTGTTAAATGTTATCTTTATTCAAGCTTTAGGCTATCAGTGTGAGCCTTAGACATTAAATGAAAAACACTACAAATTAGAAATGTGAAATTATATGTTTGAAAAAGGCTGTAAAAAAAACCAAAAGAGATTTATTTCGTGAGAAAGTAAGAAATTAGAAGAGCTATTGGAGCAATATTTACCGTTAAACACATTTAGGGGGAAAACTGAAGGAGCCATTGACAGCTTAAGACTTCACCATTTCACAGTAAACGAAACAACCGAGCCCGCCCTGGTTAGGCTACTTAAAACTGCCATACCTAAAGATAAGCCGCAGATATTGACCAAAGAAAGAAGACAAAATTACTACACACTAGCGTGGTTATTTACTTCTTCGCGTTTACTGACTAAAATCTAACAGAAATGTAGCCCAACTCTGGACTTTAATCTTGCTCCACAACCTGAGTGCTGCGTGTACACAAGCTTCACAAATAAGGTTTATTTGTATGCAGTATTGGTTCATTGCCTCTCAGAAAGATGTATTACGGCTTCGAAAATGCCACCAATTATTCGACTACCTCGACATACTTGTTCTCCAGGTCGTAAGGCTCTTCTTGCTGTCCCCACAGTATGACCCCTGAACCGCACATGAGGAGTTTAGATAATTAATCTTACATTTCCATTAGTAGAAGATACGGCCTAACAAGTAAAAGTAGATTCGTGAAAGCAAGATTAATGTAGTTCCCTTCAAACTATTAACAAATGCCTCAGAAAGTTGCTGAACATAAAATGGTAAGAGAGGATCGCTGACATTGAAGTCCTTGATACAGCTGGACTATTCAGTATTTTCTCGATTCTAAATGTCACAACTTCGCTGGGCAGGTCATATAGTCCTCATGCCTGACCACCGACTGCCAAAAAGAACTTTCTATGGTGAGCTGCTAAAAAGAAAACGATCTCAAGGTGGACAAAAGAAACGTTTCAAGGACAGCCTGAAGACCTCACCGAAAGACTTTTGTATTGGTCCTAATACCTGGAAAGTCGCTGAACGTGGCCGCTCACCCTGACGCTCCTCTCTTCATCGAGGAGCTGTGGCCCATAAAGCTGCTAGAACTGCCGCAGCAATTCAGAAAAGACAAGCCAGGAAAGACACTGAAGCAAATCACCAGAGAGATGCCGCTTCTATTCCCTGTCCAAACTGCTTTCAGTGCTAGAATTGGCCTTATCAGCCATCTGCGCACTCGAAAAACCGAATCCACTCACCATTGAATGAAAGGACTGAATGGTCATCGTCACTTGTAATGGACGAACAACAACAATATTAACATACTGTGGTGCTTCCATCTTTCCAGACTATAGTTTTACATTCTGCTATGCAAAGTCATGGAAATCATAACCTCTTCTTCTGCCATTCTAAACCCCAATGGACTATAGGCCCTCAACCAACTTACAAGTCATACTACCCCTCGCTAATGCATAGAGCGTATTCAATGTTCTCCCCATCTTTTTAACTTCACTCTCTAGCTCCTTCAGACGGGCCTGCGTGCCAAATTTGTAACCCTTTGAAAATAAAGTTTGTTTCGTTCGTTCGTTCGTTCGTTCGTTCGTTCGTTCGTTCGTTCGTTCGTTCGTTCGTTCTTCGTGTGATTTTTAGTCTGAATTTTTTTTTAATTCCCCTGTGAGTTCCAGTGCAAAGATATTCTAGCTATATTGTTCTCATGTTTCCTCAACGTGTCCTATCTATCACCAATGACTTTTCTTCATCTTTTGGTCTACTGGAACTTGTTAAGTTCCCTCCCAAAGCTCACCATTAGTGATTATAAAACAGCATTTCATTCCCTATGTTTTGCGCAGGCACCAGTTAATGAATGTTTGTGGGTTGTTTTATTTTTTAAGAAACTATTCTAGTTATTCTCCATGTTTTCGCACTGGAATGAAAGTTTTTTAAGTTCACTATTAGTTTTAGTTTCTGTTGACCTCCACACATTTCCCATAGTGCTGTAGAGTCATAGGGTGTATATTACTATATATATATATATATATATATATATATATATATATATATATATGTGTGTGTATACGTATGTGTGTATACGTATGTGCGTGTGTTATGTATGACATGGACATATACATATGCGGAAACATGATAATAAAGTTGAGTTAACCAATTTATGGCATGGCATTGTTAACATAAAGATATCATAGTGTCTTAAAAATGTCCCATTAAAAACAGACCAAGGAAAGAGCCTAACGTATAATTTACATTTTTGAATTGGCAGTGTCCCTTGTTTCATGTTGGAAACCCGTATGTCTGTCAGAAAACTACGAATATTTGCATTTAAGACATTTGAAAAATTACAAGGAGCTTGTTTCTTGTCGCAGACACTGAGATGTTAATCTATCCGCAGTCCATTTGTTTCTCTTCTCCCTCCACAACCATTCCTGTCCAAATGTCTTCCCTTCAAGCAATGCAGTTTATGGCATCCTGTTCTTCTTCTTCTTCTTAAAATCTATGCTGTGTGGCGTTGGTAGTCATGTCTATCCCAACCTTCTGTCTCTTGTACTTTCAATCAACTCTGACACAGATGATCTTCCATAGTCCGTGCTATGTGGCGTTGGTAGTCATGTCTATCACCAACCTTCTGTCTCGTGTACTTTCAATCAACTCTGACACAGATGATCTTCCATAGTCCATGCTGTGTGGCGTTGGTAGTCATGTCTATCCCCAACCTTCTGTCTCGTGTACTTTCAAACAACTCTGACACAGATGATCTTCCATAGTCCGTGCCGTGTGGCGTTGGTAGTCATGTCTATCCACAACCTTCTGTCTCGTGTACTTTCAAACAACTCTGACACAGATGATCTTCCATAGTCCGTGCCGTGTGGCGTTGGTAGTCATGTCTATCCACAACCTTCTGTCTCGTGTACTTTCAATCAACTCTGATGACAGATGATCTTCCGTGCCATGATGTCAAACCGTTCAGTATTTGTTCTCTCGGTCTCCCTCTGCCTCTCCTCGCCCTCGTACTTTCCTACTGTTACGATGTACTCCAGTTTTCACTTTTTTCATCTTTTTTCACCAAAGAATGTAGATTGTCTCTTTCTGATGTGGGCAACTTTTTAGAAAAGTTATATTATTGCAGAGGCAGACCCGACATTTTCTCCACATTTGTTTTTGTAAATCACAATAAAAAGCGACTACACCATCCTCCGCCCTTCAACTGTGTCCTAGACATCTGAGCTGTCCAGGCCTGAGCCTTGGGAAATAATCATCAATGAATGGAAACTCAGAACCAGAAAAAAAGTAATGATAATAATAAAAGGATAAGCATTTACAGCTCGAAGAACAAAGTAATTTATAAAATACTACTTGGAGCCAGTAAGTAAAAATAAATACACAGTAACAGCAACAAAAGAAAAAAAAATCATAGGCAATAATACTCTTTCATAGCTAGAAAGGGAATAATCATAGAAAAAAAAAAAAAACTCAATTGTAGCTAAAAACAGATTTAAAATATGTATATAAATACATACCTAAAGTCAAGAAGGGCATTACCCCTACAATGTTTACGAAGGGGACCCCACAGAGGGTCACAACGCCAAAAGCACCCATGATCCCAAACACGACCCCTATGACACCGGCATTGGCCATCAGGGCTCTCGTTGAAACACAGTCACCACCTGAAAACAAGAACAAAGAATTTGTTATCTGTTAAAATTTAAATGCTGATCTGCTGGTGAAGTAGCTAAAGACCAAGCATGTCAAACTGAGGGTCCCCAGAGTTCTAAATAGGTCATATTTTTGAAGTAATAATACGTTGGATGTAAAAGCAACATACGCTCGTACTAAACAGAAATACAGCTCTATCTGTTAGACGAAAAGCTAAATACGCTATACTAAACAGAAAAACAGTGCCATCTGTTAGAGTAAAAGCAACATACGCTCATACTAAACAGAAAAACTGCGCTATCTGTTAGACGAAAAGCTAAATACGCTATACTAAACAGAAAAACAGTGCCATTTGTTAGAGTAAAAGCAACATACTCTATACTAAACAGAAAAACAGCGCCATCTGTTGAAGTAAAAGCAACATACGCTCATACTAAACAGAAAAACACGCTATCTGTTAGACGAAAAGCTAAATACGCTATACTATTGCGTATACTATTTCTGTCTAGTATGCTATACTAGACAGAAAAACAGCGCCATCTGTTGGAGTAAAAGCAACATACGCTTTACTAAACAGAAAAACAGCGCCATCTGTTTGAGTAAAAGCAACATACGCTATACTAAACAGAACAACAGCGCCATCTGTTGGAGTAAAAGCAATAGACGCTATACTGAATAGAAAAACAGCGCCATCTGTTGGAGTAAAAGCAACATACGCTTTACTAAACAGAAAAACAGCGCCATCTGTTGGAGTAAAGGCAATATTCGCTACACGAAACAGAAAAACATAATGATCTGCTGGACGTAAAAGCAACGTACTAAATATTTTACAACTTCATTCGAATGTTTCCGATTGCATGGTTAAATTGATTTTTCATAGATTTCGATTTATGTAATTTTTTTTTTTTTTTTTCATTTTGATTTAATTATTTCGCGTGACATTGCGTTGGAATTGAGCTATGTCGTTTACCATAGCGTTTATTTTGTGAGTATAGCTAATTTGTTTTCCTTTTCTTACTGTTTTTTTTTTTTTTTTTTTTCATTTCGTTTTTTTTTTAAAACTGTTTTTCTCATCTTTCAGTGTAATTGGCGGTAGAATTGGGTTGTGTCGAGTGATTTGCGTTTGAACTAAAATATTTCCTTGGTATAGTTTGCGTTTGTTCCATTTTTAATGTGTTGCATATTTATATTTTTTATTATAACTGTTTTTGCCCCCTTCTTTTTTAGTGCAATCGATTTGCTTTAGTTCATTGAAATAATGCCTCGCAGAAGATTAACTTAGGTCGTCGTACTCTGGGAGCGGAAGAAGTACTGTATACCCACAAACATTGTGAAATTAAAACATAAAAATGTTCGCTTTCTCTTTTTTTTTTTTCACCCCCCCCCCCCCCTTTTTTTTCCTACACTGAGCCACAGCAACGCGATGCCGGGTACAGCTAGTAGTCAGTTTAAAAAAAAATTATATGAGTCTAAACTCATATGACATACTCCAGAATTCTATGAAAGTGTACTTTGTTTTGTTTTAAAATGAAAACAAGGTTAGATAACTAAAGAATGTAGATGAAGAGGAGGAGGAAAAAGAGGAAGAAAAAGAAGAAGAAGAAGAAGAAGAAGAAGAAGAAGAAGAAGAAGAAGAAGAAGAAGAAGAAGAAGAAGAAGAAGAAGAAGAAGAAGAAGAAGAAGAAGAAGAAGAAGAAGAAGAAGAAGAAGAAGAAAAAGAAGAAGAAGAAGAAGAAGAAGAAGAAGAAGAAGAAGAAGAAGAAGAAGAAGAAGAAGAAGAAGAAGAAGAAGAAGAAGAAGAAGAAGAAGAAGAAGAAGAAGAAGAAGAAGAAGAAGAAGAAGAAGAAGAAGAAAAAGAAGAAGAAGAAGAAGAAGAAGAAGAAAAAGAAGAAGAAGAAGACGAAGAAGAAGAAGAAGATGGAAGGTTGATGATCACAATTAGGAAAGCATATTTGACTAATATTATTTGATGAACATATGATCTGACGAGCTTAATTAATTTCTTTCAGAGAGAGAGAGAGAGAGAGAGAGAGAGAGAGAGAGAGAGAGAGAGAGAGAGAGAGAGAGAGAGAGAGAGAGGATTGACAAGATATGTATCACGGCTGTTTGAGACACAAACAAAACACACAAACACAGATAGATAGAATGAGAGATAGAGACACGAACAGGGAGATTGATACAGTTATATACAAAATGAGTCACGTAGGAAAAGTCAGAGAATGAAACAGTCGGATAAACAGAGAGAAAGAAAGACAGAGAAAGAGAGAAAGACACATAGAGAAAGACAGATCGATAGAGACAGTCAAAAATAAAGATAAACAGAGACAGAGAGAAAGAGAGGTAGACAGAGGGAGGAGGCACACACACACACACGCACGCACGCACAAAGAGCTAGAGTTTTGACAAGCAAGCGTACTCACCTGAACTAACAATGGAAGCAAACGTGATCATGATGGTGAATGTGAAGCAGAAGTAAATGATGTCGCCGTGAGTTCCCTTGTCCAACTCTTTACTCAGCGACTGAGACACGGCGAAAGCGTACTGGAAATAAGTCATGGGTGTATGGTAAGAGCAAGAAAACTATTCGCCGACAGCGACTCTAAACATCAGCCGCTTCAACAACTACTTGTGGGACACCACAACCTGTTGTCGTAGGTATTTTGATCTCCCCTTACCCTTAAAAATAATTCGGGGATGCTCCTTGCTCTCCAATTTGTAAGGGTCTAAGTCACCCCCACTGCCGTCCTCATGTAAGTAGCTGTCTTTGTGTGCTTTTTAAATGGAGATCACTTTATTTCAAATACATTATTTTATTTATCTGTCATTCAGCTTATAATCGTCAGGCTCTGTAGCACCGGCGAGGATCCTGAAATACTTTGGGTAGATTTTCAACTCCAAATTTTGCCCGGGCGGAGCCGTTATGCTACTTTTTTACTTTTTTCGATTTCCAAATGCGAATGGATTTTATTTACGTGGGCAACACTGCACACGGGTGTTCGATCTCACTACCTAGAGACCAGAGGGCCAAGTCCACGTGAAAAAAATTTCAGCCCTTACCGGGGATTGAACCCGGAATCTCTAGCACTCGAGGCGGACACCATGCCTCAAGACCACCCCCCGCCCCTTTTTTTTTAGTCAAGCGACTAAGGGTAGCGGTAAAAAAAAAAAAACCTGAGAAAAATTATGAACATTATAAACTCAAGACGAGG